TAGTATCATAAAAGAAGAAGAAGGGAAAAAAAAGAAATATGCTGTTTTTCCTGCAAGTTAGTGTCTGCATTTGACACATATAAGTGGATATTTAAAGCTGGTTCATATTATAGTTAATTTGAGCAGTTTTTTAGGAATCTTATGACAACTTTATGCACAAAACTTTTTTAAGAATAAGTGGCAATAAATTGAATTAATAAAAAAAATAGAATATGTAAACTATTACTTGGCTTAGGTGGATTATTGCCGTTAAAAATTTTATGGTTTAACTTTAATTATACCACTTAAAAATTGTAGTCTAAATTTGGTATGTTTTTTTTTCTTTTATTGAGTTTATTGGTACATTTTAGGTATATAGTACCGTTACATTCATTATTGGGATCTTGTACCTTTACATGACAGGTGGTCTTGTTATAGTTTAATGTACCTAAAAAGCAAGTTTAGCCTTTTATATTATGGACTATTATGAGATTAGAATACCATGTTGATCTACCAGTAAAAGCTTCAAAAGTAAAGGTGATGGTCTCTTTCCTCTTAATCAGTTCTCTCTAGACAAGCTACTCTGTCCATTTCAGTAGCTTAGCCACATGTAGTCATTTAAATTAACTGAAATTAAAACTCTAGCTTCTAGATCCACTAGCAGCTTTTAATATATTAAATAGCTACTTGTGGCTTGGTGGCTACATATTGGATAGCTCAGATATAGAAATAAATCCATTATCACAGAAAGTTCTACTGGACATTTTGGTTAAAAAAATAGGTAGCTAAATTAGGGAGTAGATTGAGTATGGATTGTTATTTTTTATACCCTTTTAGTAATAAACATTTGTTATGTAGGTGTGTTTCCAAAACTTTCCAACTGTTAGAATAAAAAAGTACAGTTCACTGAGAGAGGGTTTCTGTTTTATTTTTGACAAATCATTTGCAATTTAGATATCCTATCAATATAAAAATCTAGTTCTAATTTGTTTTTCTTGATCATTTGAGGTTGAGGTTTATCTTTCAGTAGTTTCTCTCTGAATTCTTACCTCACTGCACTTAGCCTTTCTAATTAATTTAGTAGATTAAGCTGATTTGATTAACTGCTTAATCCTCCCCTTAGCACACACAAAGTTAACATGGCATAAATATCCCTGAGCTGAAATCTGCTGTCTTAAAGACCACCTGTTTGTATGTCTTTCTTTAGGGCAGTGATTCGCAAATGTGGAAAATGAAGTTGCTAAACCCATCTGTGTTGGCTTAGTGTGGTTGCCAATAATTCCATCTGCTACCAGTGCAGAAATAACCAATTACCTCTTACTTTTAAACCATATATTGGGTACTTGAACATGGCAGGCCGTGTTTAGCAGCTTAAGTGGCTTTTGAGTTAGCAAAATGTGCAAGGGGAAAAGAGTGAGACACTCCTTTATCATAGTACTCCAGGACAAACAAGGAGCAAGTGATAAAAATTTCTAGGAAGCATAAACTTATACTGGGTTTAGGAAGGAAGTAGGTATTCCAGCTATCCATCCTTGCTTTTCCTTCTGTGGTTTAATTTCCTACCTTTAGTTGTAGGACAGGATAGATGAGCATCTTCCAACTGACTTTCAGTGATTCGGTATTATATAAGATGGTAATAGCTTTTCTTCAATCTTGACTTGGTTAGTGCTTGCTGATCAAACTAGTAATCTAGTTAAGTTGGCTTCAAAGCATCAGTGAGAGACACTCAGCCTGAGGCCACAGATACATTTGCATTCAGTAAGGGAGTAAGAATAACTTTGATTGAGAAACATGTACTATTTTCACGTGTACTGAGTGTTACTGTTACTATAGTATAAGCCACTTGCTTGCAAATCTGATTGTGTTTTTAAGAGAAATAAAAAATTGAGAATTGTATGAAAATCTAGCTTTTTTTCTCTGTAAGACATTTGGAAGCCAAACAAAACTTGTGTGTATGGATACAGCCTTCAAGCTGTGTGTGTGTCATTTCAGGCCTTTTCTCTATTCCTTTTTTTCAGAAATTATTATCTGTTCCTCAAAAACAAAGAGGCAGCCTGTCTTTTTGTTTTTTACTAATACAATTGTTTGACTGTCCTCCCACTTTTACAGTTAACACTTGTTTAAAGAACAATATTACTAATTAATATGGACAGCACACATGCAGGTACAATAATCCTTTTTAGCAGCCAACATGATCATCATAAAAAGAAACACACCTTAAATCTTGGAAGGTTGCTTAGACTGAAAAACAAATCTTAACCTTAGAAAGTTATTTAGGCTGAAAAAATATGAACCTTCATTTAAAAAAGGATTGTGAAGAAGTACTACATGAATTATTGCACAAATGTTTGTCATAATTTAATGACGATACGCTTAATATTTTTCACAACATGTTAACAACCTGAAACTTACATCCTAACTAAATTTTCTTATCTTATTTAAACATTAAGAAAGAACATTCAAACTCACTACTTAGAAAATCTATAATGCCAATTTTCTAATTCTGCTCAAAGTTTAAACTGTTTACCAACCTCTCACTGATATGATAGATGTGTATTATAACTATAGTCAACTACTTGTTAGCTGTTGCTGCACCTATGGAACAGCAAAATATTTGGACTGTTTCCTTTGACTGGAAAATGGAATATGTAATCAAGTTGAAAATCTCTAGTTGATGCCAACTAAACATATATATAAGCCAGTCAGATGATGTGATTATAGTATATATGAAGTATAAAACTGTAAGTGTAGACAGGCCTATTTGACAGTATCAGCTGGTGAAACATCGTGAAAACATAGCTTACTTTCTTACTATGAAATCACATATAAGATCTTTCTAGAGGTTATGGGTAAAAGCAAAAGATAATGGGGTATGTGGTAGAACTTCCTTGGTTTCGTTTTCAGACAGGCTCTCACTATGTGGCCTGGGCTGGCCTCAAACTCAGAACAATCCTCCTGCCTCAGCCTCTTGAGAGCTGGGGTTACAGGTGTGTACCACCACACCAAGCTTTATTTATTTATTTATATTTTTTGTACCAGGGATTGAATTTGGGACCTTGCACTTGCAAAGCAGGCAGTGGAACCACTGAGCCAAATCCTTGGCCACCCAGCTTTATTTATGGCTTTTTTTTTCAGTGCTGTTTGGAATACCATCTTTGTTAGGGGAAAAAAATGTACTACTATAATAAATTAAATATAGGATAGAAATAATCTCAATTTTTAAAAGGGTGGCAGTGCTAGCTAACTAGCAATAAGAGATCTACATTTGAGAAGGATTTTGCTCTTTTGTGGGTTTGACCAAACTTAAAACCATCTTAGAGAATAGAAGTCTAGTGGGTCTGGGGATATAGCTGAATGATACAGCACTTGTTTAGCATCTATAAGACTTTCTTGATTTTAAGCCTTAGCACCATGCACATCTGTAAAAAAGAATAGAAGTGTGGGGACATCATACCAGATGGGTTAGTGGGAAGATTTATGGAGTGTTTAAGAATAGTGTATATTACAAATTCCAGATAAATGTGGGAAGAGATAAAAGAAAACTGTTGAATAAGAACAGTTTAAATTTTAAAATACCATAGTTTATACAGAAATGCACACATTTCTAAAATATCCTTTATCCAAAGGAAACTGATATTTTTTAAAATATAGCAATTATGGTTGCCAGTTAACGTCTTGGAAACATCACAGAAAAAGTGACGTAGACCTCATATCAGCTCCTCAAAAGTATTGATTTGTGTAATTGCATTTAACTTCATTACCTTTCAAGCTGCTTAGAAAACAAATTAGTGCTCAGAACTATTTAGACTTGTAAATGCAGTCAAAATTGAAAAGTAATTTGGGAAACTGACTGATAATTTAATAGCAATGTTTTTTTTCCTCATGTTAATTTGAAATGATAAGGTTGAAAAAAATCACTTGGAGTTTATAATATATGTAGACTGCAGTTATAAATTAAATGAGGTGTTCACATTCTTTTCTAGATTAAAAAGTAATTTGTTCATTTATATGGAGTAGTTGATATATTTTTGAAATTGTTAATTTTCTATTCTACTGCATGGGTTTTTTGTTTTTGTTTCTGTTTTTTTTGTTTTTGTTTTTGTTTTCTCCTTGCAGTACTGGAGATTGAACTCAGGACCTTGCACTTATGAGACAGGTGGCGGCACCCCTGAGCTAAATCCCTGGCCTATGCATGGGATTTTTAAAGATATGAAACAGATATTTTCAAATTGAACTGTATAAGTGAGCATTTCTGTTATTGAACTTTTTTGGGGGGTAGGGGGGTAAGACAGAGTCTCACTATGTAGTTCAGACTGGCCTTGAACTCATTGTGAAGCCCAAGCTGGTCTTGAACTCTCAGCAATCCTGCCTAAGCCTCCCAAGTGCTGGATTAAAGGAATGCCCCACCAAGCTTGGCTATTGAGCCTTATAAAAGAAATTTTCTACATGTTTAAGTCAGGAAAATTAGTGTAAAACACTAATGTAAAGGCCAAGAGTCTGTAAGGGTAACTTGCTGGATTCAGTAGTTTGGGGTTTTTTGTTTTTTGCTTTTTTTCAATACTGGGGGTTTAACTCACTACCTTACACAGAGCTGTAATTCCAGCCCTTTTGGACTTAAAAATATTTTGCGACAGGGTCTTGCTAAATTGTCTAGACTGACCTTGAACTCACAGTCCTCTTGCCTCAGCCTCCAGGTAGCTGGGTTTATGGGTATTTTGTGACACAGTGCTTGGCTTCAGTACTATTTTTTCTTTTCATATTATGCACAATGACATGTGTCTGGTCTAAGATTATAATTGAATCACTAGGTTTTTCAGAAATGCTTTGCAATATGTAAGAAAATTACCATATATACAATTAAATTGAAGCACAGATTATTAGGCCACCTTTTAAGATTGTCATCATTTTTTAGTATTTTTCTCTATCAAGGACTAGCAAAACTTGACTTACTAAGATTTATATATTAAACTAATTTAGAAAAGAATAAAATTTTAAGTCTTTTCTTTCTTTTTTCCCCATAGGAGTACCAAAATCTAATCTTTTACACACCAAATCATTAAGGGGCCATAAAGACTGTTTTGAAAAATACCATTTAATTGCAAACCAAGATTGTCCTCGATCTAAGCTTTCCAAAAGTACTTATGAAGGAGTTAAAACCATTTTGAGTAAGAAAATAAACTGGATTGTACATTATGCACAAAATAAAGATCTGGACTCAGATTCTGAAAGTTCTAAAAACCCCCAGAATCACCTGTTTGATTTTAGGCATAAACCAGATAAGAAATTACTCCCACAATTTGACTCTCAAGTACCAAAATATTCTGCAAGATGGATAGATGGAAGTACAAGTGACATTTCAAACTGTACACAAGGAATTTTGGAGCAGAGAGAAAATACAGACTTTGGTATTGCTATGTTACAAGATCCAGGTGCCACTTTATGCCATGACAGTGTATTGTGGCCTCATAGTCACAGCCAGGCACAGAAAAAAGAAGAGGCCCTCTTCCTTCCAGAGGCTGATGTCCAGACTCAAAATCTGCATTACAGCAGAGAGGAATGTAAGTAAAATCAGAAGAAAGGTAAAAGCTCTGTGGTTTCCATTTTGGTTTTGGGGGGTAGAATGATTGTTACATTTTTTACATATAATATATCAAGAATTTTGATGTAGAATCAGCTTTGTTAAATATATTTGAATGGCAGAGTCCCTTAGCAAAAGTGAGAGGTCTTATAATGAGCCATTCTCTGGAATACTTTTCAGTATGTCCTGTACATTGAAGTTTAGCATTCCTGTCGCTTGTTTTCTATTTTAAATGATTAAAGTGAATGGAATCAGCAAATTGAATTGGCATTTGAGGGTTCAGATAGTTTACAAAAGTTCAGCTTCAACTACTGATGTATACTCATTGTCACTTTGATAATCCCCACAGGACTCATTGACTGGGGGTGCCATTTAAAAGCAAAACTCAGAAATTTATTTTAAAAGTGGCTCATTTTATCTATATCTGCTTCTATAAAAATTTAGACAAAGTGAGATAATTGTAATTGACTTTAAATAAAATTATTTTAGAACCAGAGGGGACCTTAAATATCTTTTATACAACCTCTTGATTGTACATTTGAGTAATCTAAGGTTGCTTAAATTAGATGAACAAATGATTTTTCAAACAACTTCCACAGTACTTCAAGTAATGTTTTCAAACTGCAAGTCAAAAACGGTGTGATGCTTAACTAAAATCAGCTAGAGATTAGCAGTTTTTAAAACCTGAAATAGCATAGGAGATATGGTACTGATCTACAATATGTTTCTTACTGGGAGTTATGATAGAGAATCAAAAACTTCTCCACACTGTGAGAATTAATGAATGAATATTGGGGTAATACTGAATGTTGTACTGGCAGATAACTGCAGTTTCTTTTAATAGGTTATTATAATAGGCAGCCCATTCTCCTAGACTGTTATAGTAACAATGACTATATTTTCATGTTTCAGTGAATTCAATGACGCTTGATGAGGTAAAACAACTGAATACAAAGCTCCAACAGCAAATCCAGGGTAATGAATCAGTCTTGAGTGTTTTTTCACAAAATTTTGATACAGTAAATCCCTTATGATTGAACACATTAGCTTCAGCAGCACTTAAATGTGGAAATTGTATATTTAAACCTCAGTTCCCAGAGCAAAGGACTAAGAGAACAACCTCTTTATGAATTGCAATAGAAATATCTTTCTTCACTAAGTGAAAATGGGGAGTAGAGTTGTTCTCTCTTTTTTACATTGTACTGTGCACTTCTGTGCAGGGCATTGTGGAGATGAGCTCCCTGGCAGTTCTTTAAGGCAGGTAGTATGAAAAATTCCAAACAAAAGGAGTGGGACTAGTATATGAACCTTTTGATCCGTCTTTACCAGCTTCAACTATTATCCAAAAGCATAGCTAGGTTTTTCTTTTCTCTCTACCTGGAGCCACTCCCCTTGTCCTATGCCCACCTGTAGTACGAATTGTTTGAAATATCCTAGGTAACATACTGTTGCCTATAAATATGCCAGGATTTTCTTTGAAAGATAACTTCTTAAAAAGCAGTCACAACCTTATTATCATACCTTTTAAAAAAGCTAGTACTGTGCAAGGACCAGAGTTCGATCCCTGGTACCCAAAAATAAAAAATAAAAAAAGCTAGTACTAATTCCTTAACATCAAATATGATGCTGACATGTTAATGGTTATTGTCTTATTTCCCTAATTGTCTCCTTTCTTTTTCTTTACAATTTATTCCCATTTAGGTGAGGAAATTGCTCTTCAGAAACTTAAATTGTTTATAAAGATTATGCATACAATCAGTAGCAGGTCAAGGATTCTAACTCCCATTAAACTGTAAAGCTAGTGATCTTAACCACAGTCTTTGAATAATTAAAATAATAATATTAATAATTGATAGCAATTTATATTTATCAAGTACTTATGTGTGTACTTTACAGATAATTATCTCAATCCTTGAGTAACTGTAAGGCGTTTACTACGGTCTTATATACAAAGAGAAATTGAAACAAATTTTGCCTGAATTTGATTCCAAAGCCTCTTAGAAGAATATGCAGACCTGGATAATAAAGGACATCATATTAAATACTGATTAAACGTACTTACAGATTCTAATTGAAAAGTAGCTATATTTTAATAGTAAGAACCATTGCTACTGTGTATGACCATAATCATTGCTTATGATTCTTTTAAGTTTAACCTGATGAAGAAAAAAGACATTGTAGTCCAGTGAGCAATGTGAAATCTAGAGACTTTGAAGGATTATCAGATAGGCCTTGAGGAGAAAACAGGTGATTTATTGTCAAGTTAGCCTTGATGTCAAATCAGTTGCAAAAATTCACCCAGTGCCTTATTTTAGGAAGAGTACTCATAGTTACTTAAAACATAAATCACAGTAATAGCTTCCTTGAACTAAAAATGAAATGCTTTTTAAATTTTACAGAAGTTTTTGAAGAGTTAACACATCAAGTGCAAGAAAAAGATTCTTTGACATCACAGCGTCATGTCCGTCATGTTGCCATTGAACAGCTTCTCAAGAACTATTCCAAGTTACCATGCCTGCAAGTAGGACGAACAGGAATGAATAACTGAACTGTGTGTACTTCATATACTCTACCCTTTCCTGGTCTGCTAAGCATGTATACTTTGAAGAGTTTTGAAGCAAGTTATGGTCCATTATGTTATGGTCATAAGACAGTATTTAACATCTTTGTCTAATAAAGCAGATCATTATACTCTGATCCTCTAGGATTAATTATTTGACTTCATTTTGGGAATCTTTTTCCCATAATTAGTAAATGTCCCTACCTTTTGCCATGTGTGACTACTTAAATATACTGTTACAATGTGATTTTATGAAACATTTTTATGTAATTCACCTGTCAAAACAATAGCTTAACAAACTCCTATTAGACTGAATTACTAAAGGCGATTTTTAAGAGGGAAATGGAATTCGTAGTGACACCTCTTATTTATTATGAGCAATATTTTAATATAAAATTTTATATGTAAAAATGCTATTTTAGGTACCTTTTCATTCTCTTTGTAAATGTGTTTGAATGGCTCTGAGTATTTACACTCTTGTGTGTAAATATATTCACCCATATTTCAGATCACTGCATTTTATTCTCTGAATAAAATGTTTTTACAATTTTTTATCTTGCTTTCCAAAGATAAATGTATTTTGGAGTAGAAATCTATCTAGTTGAATTGTTTAACTTTTAAAATCTTATGAAAGAGAAATAAATAACTTTTTAAAGTAACTATTCAAGTAAAAATAGCATACATTATTATTTTCTAACAAAACTATTTCTGAGTTAGTTTAGGAAGAGAGTACTAATATTTATATGTCATTTTATCTCCATAATAATAATAGCCTCTCCAGTTCATTTAGTATTACTTCTGTGTGTTAGAATTTGGACAGAGTAAGTCAAGCCTCACTTTCAAGTCAAATGTATCTTACCTTACCTTCCAACTGAAAATGTTGCCCCCTTAAAAAAAAAAAAATGTCCTGTTTTTGAAAAAAATTAAAATGATTCCTTGTGCACTTTGGGATAAAGTTTCAAAAATTCTTACACTGTCCAAATTCTGTTTTCAACCTCATTGAAATTCTCCAAAAAAAAAAAAAAAAAGCATTATAAGGTATTTTTGTAAACTTTACAGGAAAAGAGAAAGTTTCTTGATACAAGAAAAACAAAACTCCTAATTCAATAAACTAAGGCTGTTTGAAAGGATATTATAAATGGCTTGTGATGTTTCTAAACAGTCCCTAATGAATAGTTTTAAGCAGCTAGATATTTTTAATAACGTATTATACTAAGAGCTATAACCAGTGGAAAATCAAAATTGGTTCTAAATTGTTGCCAACTGGTGCTTAAAATCTATTTGTGAGGTAAATCTTTTGCTTAGAATCCACAGAAAAGCCCATAAACTTGGCAGCTTTTCCCATAAGGAGATGAATGACTTCTACCTTAAATTTGGTAGCCTATCCTAGCTTGGGTCAGATTTTTAGTTTTGAACACATACAATGTTTCACTAGGCAAAGAAATGTTTTTATATAGTTGAAATCAACATTTTGTAAATGCTAAGATGTACAAAGTTGGCCTGAGGGTATTAATTGATATCCTATTGACTTTGTTGTGTTTTTCTTTGGAATATGACATAACTGTCAAGCTTTTTGGCAGAAGCTTTTAAAAATGCTTTTAATCTCTCTTCTTTGAGTCATCCAAAATGAATTTAAAATTCTGGAAGTGGGGATGGATGCATTGCCTTAGTTTTGATTAGCTTTAAATTGAATGTGTGCAATATGAAAACATCCAAATTTATAAGTTGGATAAAGACAGGTCCTGATTATGCCAGTATTTTTTTAGTGCTTAGTTGTTATGGTTACATTTTCAAATTGACTTCTCTTCCTTGGCATAATGCGTTAAGAATGTTACCAGCCAGGGTTGTTGAACACATTTGGGCTTGTTTAGATGACTTGGAGACAGTCATAAAAGTTTGAAATGCATTGCATTTGTTATCAGTAATAGCATGTTTTCAACAGAGTTGTCCAAAGAAAGTGTCTGCTTATCTCTTAAAGATTTTTCTAGCAGAGATGTAGCTTTACTATGAGTTTGGAATAATTGAGTAGGGCTGTGTGTGTACTAAGTATTTGTTTGGGGCTTTGATTTATTCTGTTTAGGTATTGGGTTTTTGTTTTTTTTTGGGGGGGTACCCGCGATTGAACTTGGGTCCTTGCGTTTGCAAGGCAGGCTACCAAACCGCTGAACTAAATCCCTGGCCCGTCTGTTTAGGTATTGTTACTTAAGTTTATTTTCAAGAGGAAAGTCCTCCTAAAAATCTGTGGTGCTGGTACTCACATTATTATTTATTCAGATGAATTTGTAGAGGACAAAAATTTTATTAAAGTATTTTGCACAGCAGTTTATACAAATATTTGGTAAATTTAGATATTTCTATGTTTTCTTGATTCAATATGCAATTATTATATATGCAAAAATAAGAATCAGGGACAGAGATATCTCAAATATTGGTTTCCATAGTTGGCTATTCTTCTGTATAGTTTTATGTTTTGAGGAGATACAGAAAAAAAATCCGCAATAGCAAATGGTGAAAGACAAATTGCTACTCAGGCATTTCTAACTTTTTTAGAATTTATATGATTTAGGGGAGGTGAAATAAGACAGTTTTTTTTTTTTTACATCAGACTTCATAATTTGGTAAGTTAATCTTAAAAAGTCATAATGAAAAGTGAGTTTTAATTATATGATATCTTTAGAGATCAAAGGAAGTTTTTATATACTTAGCATATGCAAGGAAATGGGTTTGATACCCAGCACCACAAAAACAACTAAATAGATAATGTTTTTAAATTGTCCAATTTTATGTTTACTTTTAAGATTATCAGTTTACCCTTTGATCCTAGTATTAATATCTAAAATGTTCCTTTGAAAAGGGCATATACTTCAGACACCAGTAAAGATAATTCAGTCTGCTGAATGATGTTTTTATTCCATTATGTAGTTTCTCCAAAATGTTGTAACAAAGAGATCTTATTTTTCCAAAATATATGTTCATTTCACCAAAAAGTGCCCATTTTTACGTACATTTAAGGCATATATTTAAAATACCAACTTCATGTTCACAAGTGATTTCAGAAATAAAATATATTCTGGTTTTTTATTATGTTTTTTGGGGGTTGTGGTCTTTTGTTTCTTGGGTTTTTTTGTCATCTCAATAGATATCTTGTTCATTTGTTTGTGGTATTGTGGATTGAATACAGTACTTTCCTCAGTGCTTTTATCTTTTTATTTTATTTTTTTTTAATTTATTCTACTTTATTTTTGAGACAGGGTATCACCAAGTCTCTAAATTGCCTAGGCTTGGTTTGAACTTGGCAGTCCTCCTGCCTCAGCTTTCCAGAGTGCTGAGATTACAGGTGTTTACCACCCTGCCTGCCTCAGCTTTGTTTTTATGTTTAATCATATCCTTTGCCACTGAAAATAGTCTAAAGTACTTTCTTGTTTTTTAAGTTTATACATTGTTTACTTGGTTTCTACATTGGTGAGGCTTATAATTTTTTGCTAGTCTTTTAAGCTAAGTTTTATGTTTGTTTGTTTGTTTTTGGTACAGGAGATTGAACTCAGGACCTTTCGCTTGCAAAGCAGGCGGAGGAACCACTGAGCTAAATCCCGGGCCTTAAACTAAGTTTTTTATTGATTTGTATTTAATGTTTACCACTTTACTTCATTTTGTTTCATTTTAGAGGAAATCTTTCATTATAAACATTGTAAAATGCTATACAAAATGTATATGCTTTAAAGTTAAACAGGAATTTTTAAAGATTAAATTATTTGTGTAGCTTATTAGGAGATTCCAGTTAATAACAATAAAAGGTTAAACATCCATTAAAACTTTGAAATGGTACAGTGTTAAAGTCTTATAGTGTTATTTTTCTTACTTTTGCCAGTTCACTTACTGACAGATACTATTACTTATAGTAAAGTAAGATAGTTGAGTGTTTTTGAATACTTAAGAGTTAGTACTTTTTAAAATTTTGGAAATATCTTTTCAGATGTGACTGTGAAGCAAAGATAATTGATTTCATTTCAGTGTTTAGTTGCATTTTTAACTTTAGCTTGGTGGAATTGATTGTATGAGAAAATTTATGGTGAAAATTAGTAAGAGATAGAACCCTCAACAGATTATTCTTGCCAAGGTAATGTTTGTAGTGATGGGGTAGAGGAGTTTATGTACCAGAACAAGGTAATAAGGCTCTGGCACAAAGGAAGAAGGTTACAGTGTTGTGACTAGAATATCAAAGCTCTGTCTTGCATCAGTATTTTCATTTTACTTCATCCTTTCACATTTGCCCTTATTACAGTGTCAGGCTGTTGTTACCTTGATGCAAAGCACATTATAGCAATCTCTAACACTAGAAATGGGCTGGGAGGGTGTTCTGTGGTAAGAGTGCTTGCCTATCATCCATAAGATCCTAGTTGGGAATGTATAATTTCAGTATTATATCTGGTTTAAAGAACCCACATTAATAATGCATTTTAGTGATTGTAAATTATCCCACAATTTTAAGCTCTCTAAGGTGAAACAAAAAAACACGGAAATGAGTCCCTCTAAAAGAACTGAGTGTGTGCGTTGTGTGTGTGTGTGTGTGTATACTTTGCTTTCAGTGTAAGTAGCATGTGCTTTGGTCAATGAATTTAGTCTCTTCAGTGTTAGAAATTTATTTTACAAAATTGTGCTGAAACATTGGGGGAAAAATGAAACTGCTGCAATAAAAACTAAATGTTTCAAAACAATTTATTCAGACATTTGGTTATATTTTCTTTGGAAACAGCAAATAATTTATATATTTGTATCCTGCTTTGGAACTGTAACGATAAATATATGCTTGTCAACTATTTTTAATTTTACAACAATAAAATAAATATTTTGTTATCTGCTAGCTTCAGTGGGTGTTTGTAAGAATTCCTCCTTTTAATGATTGACCTACATTAGGGGTTTGTTTTGCTGGTTTAGGGGTGTAAGAATTGTCTTACTAATCGTGGAGGTGCACATCTGTAATGCCAGCACTCTGGAAGGTGAGTGAATAGCAAGAGAATAGCAGTGGCCAGTCTGGGCTACATAGGGGGTTCAAGATCAACCTGAACTACATAGTGAAACCCTATCTCAAAAAGAAAAAAAATAAAAATTATGCTGAAGATACAGCTCAGTGGTACTTTCCTAACATGTGCAAAAAGCCATGGGTGGGTTTGATCCGCAGCAGCACTAGGAAAAAAAAAAAAGTAATCTTATAATTCCTTGTCGGACTCTCACATTATCTTTGATATTTATATTCCCTGTGTTCCTAGAATCCAAATACCAGAAATAAGTTTCCTGTGACTTACTGGCACTATGTACAACTTTTTAAATTGGGATGTAGGCCTGGAGGTGAAGCCAGGTGAAAGAGGACTTGTCTAATTTGTATGAGGGACTGAGTTCAATCCTCATCACTGCTAAACAAATAGGGGTGTATTTTATTTATAGTAAGTATGCTGGTTTGAATTTTTTTTGGGGGGGTACTGGGGATCAAACTCAGGACCCTTGTACTTGCGAGGCAGGCGGCAGAACCACTGAGCTAAATCCAGCCCTCACTGGTTTGCGTTTTAACAGGTATATACAGCTATATAGCCATCATTCCCTTGGATCTCTTTTCCAGTCTCTTTACTCCTCGTTTCCTTTCCACTCTTCTGATATCTTTCACCATAATATGGGTGTGCCCACTGTAGACTTTCATGAGTACTCATACAGTATATGTCCTTATTTGTCTCTGGCTTTTGAGGGTCAACTCTATGCTTTTGGAATTCATTCATGTTAGCTCAACTATTAATAGTTAACTATCTGTTTTTTTAACTGAGTGATGTCTTATTTGTGTGTAATGAAATCTGTTTTTCCACTTACCTGTTCATGGACATTGGAGTTATTTCAAGTATGGGTTAATAAGAGTAAAACTGTTCTGTGTATTTTTTTAAGTGGCTTTTAAAAAATATTAAAAAGAGAAAAAAGTATTGAAGGTCACTTGTTAGCATTATGAATATGAACAATAAATTACCCTTTTTATGAATTACTTTCAAAAGTAATTTGTATGTTTTTGTGGTAATTTAAAACTAGGAAACAAAAGATAGTTCAAAATGAGTGGTGTTTGAGGGTTGAAACATTTTAATATTATGCTAGAAGAATAATAGTCACTGAAATTCTTCAAAATCTTAAGTCTCAGTTGTAGGGTTTTTTGGGGATTTTTTTTAATCTGGAGAGGAAATAGATACCAAGAAAGTGAGTGTCTGTCTCTTTTTCTCTTATTCTAGATTTGTAAATGGAGCTTTTTCAAAAAGATTTAATTTTCAAGAGTGATCTAAATAATGTCAGTAGCTATCCTCAAATCTTCAGCCCCTTACCCAGTGACCAATTAATTATCGCCACGACTATTTCAAGCCTTTGATAAATCACACTTGCACATTCTCTATTTCACTTCCAAACCAGTGACTAAATCAAACACAAACATACCAACCCTTCCTCCATAGTTTCTGAATCAGTAGGTCAAGGGTAGCACTCAAGGAATTTGTAAATTGGGAAGAGAGGAGGGGGTGAAGGGGCAAGGATAAGGGGAAAAAATGAAAACCAAGACCTGTCATGTAAAGGTACAAGATCCCAATGATGAATGTAACTATATACCTAAAATGTACCAATAAACTCAATGAGAAAAAACAAACAAAACAAAAAAAAAAAGAAATCATCTAACAGTCCTAGGTAATGCTGATGCTCCTGGGCTGCACAGCACTTAGCAAACCACTGCTTCAAATGAACTACCTCACAACTTACTTCCAAAAAGAAAGCAATAATACAGGCATTCCTCATTTAATTACCAAGTTCCCTTACGATGGCTAAAGAACTGTATATTGTATTTACATCACTATTCAGAAATGACCAAAGGAAACTCCAATGTGATTACTTTGCTTTTATTTGCATAACTCTTACATGTAGCACTATAATGTATAACATAAAACTACACAGTATAGTCAGCAAAAATTACAGTACTGGATAAGCAAGGTATATGTACAAAAGATACTGAAGATGTATAATCAGCATGTACAGAATTGTATAAAAAGGAAAGATGGACCATAAGTCTCAGAAGCAGGTCCTAAGTCAGAATAGTCATTAAACAGGTAGGTCATTAAACAAAGAATATCTGTACTGCTCTCTGCTCAAAGATCTTTTAAGAACGATTACCAACGCCTACAGAATAAAAACCAATCCCCACTGCTCAATGTCTAAAATCTTCACATTTGGCATACACTTATTTTCCATTTCAATTATTTTTTCCCAGTTAAGTTTATTGGTACATTTTAGGTATACAGTACAGTTACATTAGTCATTGGAATCTTGTACCTTTACATAATGTACCTTGGTTCTTATTTTTTCCCCATCCCCTGCTCTCCCTTCACCCCTTTCACCCTACCTATTTACAAA